CTGTATGTCGGTATTGAAAATTTGAATTTGTAAAAATGGAGGAAACTTTCATTAATATAACTTTTTATTCAGTATTTTAGACCTCTTAAAACAAAAATGCAAGGTGGTTCGAATTATGTGTCCGGGTGTGTATTAACTTCATTCCGTTGCAGAAGTACACATATGCTGTCAGCTTGAGGAAGATAGGAACATAAATTATCATTATTTCCTTAATCGCGGCCAGTCTTGGGCCAGTGTCAGTTTTTCGATGTATGTCAGTTAATATTAATCAGAACGCCAACGTTTAGGAAGCAGCAAGGAACATAAATGAGTTCATAATGTATTTGAGTTAATCTCTTTTTGTTTTTATATCCGTTTCCTTCTAAATGCTCGTTCAACTGGTTATCCAAATTTCTAATTGCGTTATAAACAGTGCAATAGTATCTTTAAAACATTTTGGTTACTATAAATTTATTTTCATCCAAGAATTAGTATTTCACATGGCTTACACAACACAGATATATCGCAACTTCAATAATAAAGTGACCAATCGAAAAGTAACTTTAGTGGGATATTAACAAAATAAATTGGAAAAAAAAAAATGTACAAGACTATATCTCGTTTTTCATATCAAATAGAACTTTGTCATATTTAACAGTCACTGGCACCTGGCAAATGGCTAGTACTTTTTTAAAATCTATTTTTGTTGGTTTCTCAAAAATTATTATCGAATGACGTCACTGTATTAAAGAGGGTGCGACACGTACAAATAAGTTATACATTGAATATAGGGTGTGAATTACATGCACACAGAAAGGTACATAAGATAAAGTAGTGCACAGAAGTCCACACTTATCGACATGGAATCGCATTAAGAATAAGGACTATGTCCATGTGGCAAGTGCGAAAGTCGTTGTGCGTTTCTTTAGCTCTTATTACCTACACATAAAAGATTTTTCTGACCGGCTCAAGCCGATTAAGCGTTAATAAATGTGGTGGCTCCTCCAAGAGACGATTTCAGACTAGTTTGGCATTTATAGCAGTTACTTGTGGCTTCGAATCTGAGACCTAAGGCTCAATTTCCATTGGCTCGGCACGGAATACAAACGAACTTATGTAAACATAGCATAATGAACTTTATGTCAATTGTATAAGGTATTATTAATGATGTTGGAAAGCAATCGCACGTTTAGTTACTTAAGCCGGCACTGCTCGGGAATTAACGCAGCTATTGAGTCGTTAGTTTCGTTACAAAAAATCACTTCCATACCGTCCCGCGGCAATGTAACTGGAGCCTAAAATTGTATGTGCGGTTTTTCTTTTCGATAAAAAGGGAAATGATTAGGCCGTACTCTGGTTGGGACATTACATACAAAAATAAATGTAACATATAGACTCTGTTACTTTTCTGTCCTGTGTCCCGCACTAGAGAGCTTTAAAACCTCATCTTACTTTAAGATCACTTTGTATTCAACGCTACTTGTTATTTATGGCAATATGTACAGAGATCCTCTTAACTGCCTTTAAATCGAGCAAAAGCACTATATGAGTAACCGTTTCCACACAAATATTGACGTAAAATATATTTTTAACCAGGCTAATGTAGTTTCTATATAAATATATAGACCGTTTCGTTCGGACGATACGAGCGAACGGCATATTTTACAGAATTGGTGTCCATTTTACAGCCCAGCGTAATACCACTTCGCGTCAATAAACGTGAGAAACATCGGAGTGCTTTAACTCGTTATTTAAAGGCGCTCAAAACGATGCAAATTTCAACATAATTCCACGATTAAAAGTTTAAGTACAAACAGTTACATGGTAAGATGGTTAGTTCGTATCAAGCAAAATTTTAAATGTTAAAACATTATGTACACTAATAGGACAAAAGTGATATTAAAAATCAATTATGAAAAATATCTATATGAATCGAAATGACATAATGACATAGTTTAAATTGTAGGAATGTCAACACAGTTGTGTTAAAAATATCGTACTACCTACATTATGTTAGTGACTATTTCAAACAGTTTAGTTAAAGTAAACATAGGGGTTGCTTTAGCGCTGTTTGACAACAAACAAGTGGATCATTCCTTGGTTCTCATTGGTTGAAAAAATTTGCTATTTCCACAGAATATGACCAAAATAATAATTATGAATAAAATGAGTATAGGAATTAATCGTAATGTATAACATAATTTGAAAATATGTAGTGCAACTAACAGCATTTAAAAGTGGATATTACAGCATGCTATATATAAGGCAAGTCTATCCACTAACCACATCCATTGACTAAAACAGAAAAATTACAATACAACATCTGCAACATTTGAGAACATAATCGCACGTACATTCCCAACACACATCACTATACCTAATTTTTATATATAACGTAACAGTTGACCTTATAAAAGTTTTTTTTTTTAATTTTAACATAGAACACTAGTTATGAAAATCACAAATTTACACCTAGGAGTGATGGAAATAATGTTAATGTGATGAACTATACGAGTCTAACACAAAAATACTAAAATGGTATGAGTAGAAACAATAAGCGATGCAAAAGTGCTACGCGTAATGGAGTTACAAATTATAATATCGAATTAGTGATATGGGCCGACCGCAGCGGCGGCAGTCGGGCCTGGCTAGGAGGTTTGTGTGGGGGGTTGGAACTTAGGCTGGATTATGGAGGTCTTGCGTACAGGCACAGTCTCTGGGGTGGGAATGGCGTCGCCGGTAGGATGTTTGGCTGGCACGGCGGGCGCTTTGAACGGCGCTGCTAGGTTGCTTGGTCGTTGTTTTGCCATCTGATAGTCTCCAGAGTCAAAGAATTTTTGCTGAAAAAAAAAAACACCATGTCAATGTTAAACTTCAGTAGCAGTAGACTCCTTGTGAAAGGGTTCGTCCAGGGAAATACTGCCACCTTACCTATTTCCGCGGCTAAGGAGTAATGTTAGCATTACTGTATTCCGGTTTTGAAGGGTGAGGGTGCTGGTGAATTTACAGGCACACGGGACTTGTCAATTTATGTCTCAGGGTGACGGGTAAGTGGCACTGTCCCGCAAATCTTTGCGATTTAAAGCTCTGAAAGGCACTGCAACTGTTATGGACAGGCATGTAGCTTAACATCAGGCGCGCGACTTGTTCGTCCCGTCACTTATAATACCACAAAAAAAGTAGTTTAAGATTTTCCAGTTTGAGACCGGGTAATGGATATGGTTGTCTGGCACCATCGAGTATAATAACCAGAAATAGAGACGAAATGTCATTTGTTTTAAAACTATTCTGCCAAATCATTACTGCGCTCCGATTGGCCAACCCGAAACAATTTTCACTTTAAGTTTCACTTTAAATCGACCAGTTTAACTTGAGCTTTGCTTTTTTTTTTAATAAAAAAAACTTAGCGTATCTTATTAGTGCGCATTGTCAATAAAAAGACTTAGGGTCGTATTAAAGAACTCTACTCAATGCTCAAGTCAGGATTTGAGTATGGTTTAAAGCACTCGAAATCATACTTAAGTCCCTGCCATTAGGGTCGTATTTCCAGTGCAATCCTGACTTGAGTATTGATTCAAAGCATTAGAAATCATACTCAAGTCCTTGCCATTAGGGTCGTATTTCCAGTGCTTGAAATCATACTCAAGTCTGCTGAGTAGAGTTCTGGAATACGACCCTATGTCTCCATCTAGACAAAACATAAACCAACATAAAAAAATGACACTTTTACTTACTCCCTTAGCTAGCCTCTTCTGCAAGAATGCTGAGTGTCCCCCAGGACCTTTTCCCAGAATTGCATTTGGGAATTTGGCTTTGAGCTTAGCTTCCTCCAGCTTCTCCAGTTCTTTCGGCTGTAAATTGAAAGATAACATTAGATGCACATAATATTAGACCTAACATCGTTTTCAGGGTCGTATGCTAGAACTTTACTCAACGCTCAAGTCAGGATTGCAATTGAAACACAAGCACTGGAAATACGACCCTAATGGCAGGGACTTGAGTATGATTTCGAGTGCTTTAAACCATACTCAAATCCTGACTTGAGCATAGAGTAGAGTTTTAGAATACGACCCTTAGATTGGCAACCCAGCAGTTAAGTTGTAAACATAAATGCTTTGTATTTTATTTTCGAATTTTCAGTTTTTACACAATAATTATTTCAAATATCCCTTTCATTAATATAGCCTATATAGTATTATTTATATAATTTTTGCGTGTGCCCACAATGGTATGTATTATATATATAAAGCTACAAGTTTAGACTCACTTAGAAAAATAGAAGGCACACTTCCCTATATGGTGGAAAAATATATTTATACTGGTGTACGCGGATAGGCTACAAGGCAAAGAATCAAATATGAGAAGACCTGAATGTGGAAAATGTAAACGAGTGATCAACTGCCTGCAAAAACTATAACACATGTGGGGGTTTTTGTGCATTTTTATGAGATACACCTTGGTCAATTTGAGCGGGAAGTAAAAAATTTTCGAAATACAAATAAACAAGATGGTCGCCAAACAAATTTCAAAGCCTCCTATCACGGAAACTATTAGAGATAGATAGAAGGTGCTCGAAGAAATGTCATAGAGGGTAACACTGGTCAACTGCCTGGGTTAAAAAAAATTCAAGATAGCGATTTCAAAATGGCGGCGGAAGTAAAACTTGCTTCGATCCGGCTGAAAATTGGCATGCTTTAGGAGTCCCTAATCATAATTTGGGGCTAAAAATTTCTTTTCGCAATTTTTTAAAATATAAGTGTTTTTTTTTTCATTACAAATAGGTGCCGAAAGAGACTCGCTCTTTTTCAGCTGAGATTCTCAGCATGTGGAGGCCTCTAGAAATGCCAAATAATAATTTGTGCTCGAAATTGGTTTTTCGCCATTTTCAAATATGACCGCCATACAAGCGTTTGTTGGCAGTAGAAAAATAATTGTTCTGATCCTCTCCAAAATTTTCATGTGGGAGTCTCTAGGAGTGCTTGATAATAATTTGTGATCAACATTAATTTATCGCCATTTTTCAACATGGCTGCCATAGAAGTATTTTTTGGCGGTAGATGAAAATTTTCTCTAATTCTACTGAAAATCGCCATGAGGGGTTCTCTATGGGTGTTTAATGATAAATTACAGTAAAAATTTACATTTTTGCCATTTTTCAATATAGCCGCCATTAAAGAGCTATGTTAATTTTTTTAAAGTCATAAGTGCCGAGGTCTAGCGGAGGGCGAAGCCCGAAGCGTATGCACGCCACCTTACGTAGGTAATGTACGGGGACTAGATTTTACAATTGTTCAAAATGTTAGGCATACTTCCCGATGTAGTGGAAATAATATCTTATTTACTTATACAACTTATAGCGTTGCTGTATCTCGATCGTCTCTCTGTTAGATTCTTTTTTATTGGAAGCTATGCCAAAAAGAGAAGTATTTAGGGAAAAAGGAAAATGCCAGACAATCACTTCCAACTTTTACTATACAACTAGGGAATTTCCTGTACTATGAGTACCAGTAGTAGTAACGATAATTCTGAGGGCAACACCTAGAATACCCTGACCAGGACTAAAAAAGTTTTTTTCATAAATTGGTTCAAACAAGGGATCGAATCTGGAGCCTCCTCATCAAGCGCCCATAGTACTAATCACTGTGCCACCGAAGAACATAAGCACACCCCGCAATCAGTGTTGGGCGTTAATCAATAGTTCAATCAGATTAAAAAATCAATTCAATTGAAATCAATTGCAATTAAATCAATTGCGACGCGTCGCAATTGATTTAATTGCGATTGATTTTAATTGCAATTGAATTTAATTGCAATTGATTTCAATTGAATTGATTTTAATTGCAATTAAAATCAATTCCGGCCGGTTGGGGGCCCGGTTGTAGCCCCGGTTGGGGACCCCGTTGGGGGGGCCCGGCTGGGGGCCGCGTTGGGGGCCCGTTTGGGGGCCCCGGTTGGGTGGCTCAGGCTTCTTAACTGGCCCCTAACCGGGCCCCCAACCGGGCACCCCAACCGGGCCCCCCAAGCGGGCCTCCAACCGGGCCCCGAACCGGCCCCCTAACCTGCCCCCAGCAGGCCCCCACGACCAACGCCCTAACTCACCCCCATATGCCCTATAAATTTATCATAGTTGTCAGTTTTAATGGTTAATTGTTAATCCAAAGCATTGAAAAGATTGAAAATTGATTAATTGTTAATTGTAGATATTTGCGATTAACGATTGACCAATTGTTAGTTGCGAGAACCGCAATTAACAATTGATTAATTGTTAATTGCGGTTCTTGCAACTAACAATTGATCAATCGCTAATTGCTGTTTCGCAATTGACAATTAATCAATTGTCAATCTTTAATTGCCAGAATAATTTTGCCCAACACTGCCCGCAATCTGAAAGCGATCACTCGCTGCAGGCCGAACCCGACCCCACTCGGCTCGTATACTATATAGCCAGTTATAGTTTTAAAGTAAATATTTACAAAAAAATAGGTTAATTAGACCAGTGATTGTCTGGGTTTGATGTTATTATGTATGTTTTTTTCAAGTCACTTTGGTTACAGCTTAGTTTTAAAAGCTGTAACCAATTAAGTACTTTTTATTCTGTTTCTATCTGAAAATACGTCCTGCCAGTATTAAAAAATAATATGAGTAGGTACAGTGATGAAACGGATAAGCATATTGATTTGTAACTTAAGATAACTAAATATTTTCATGCCAGTCACAACATGTAGTGTAACTAAAAATATTTTATCTTTTTAATTTCTACAGAATACTACATTAGAGTTCACAATTAAATAATTTCATAAGTGCCAAACTAGTTTTGGTATGTTAAAAACCTTACAACAAATTAAAATATAAAAGGCGTAATTTAAATATGGCATTGGTAATGACAATTGTTTCGACTTTTCATTTTAGTTCTTTTTTATATACATATAAAATAGTTACACATGTAAGCGACGATGTGACAAACGATGGTTACGCGTTTGTCAAAACAATACATATTCATATGGAGATATTAGGTTTTCGCGATTGTTACACATAGGAAATGTATTTTTCGGATCTAAATTTATTTTTTCAAACAAATCAACGTTTCGGTTCCCTCACAAGTCCCATTGTTAGTCAGTCATGACCTTTATAGTAAAAAATAGTTTCAATACCTATTCGGTCTAGTTTTGAATAGCACTAATTTGTACTTTTCGAGAGACAGATGTCGGTAGTGTACTTCAATCCTGTGCCATACACATTAGCAAGGAGGAAGCAAAGCGATTCTTCCAAATGGGTGGTATATCACTGACTTAAGGATAGATTCTTCCGGATTTTCTAGTCGTTCAAAGGTGGAATTAAAATGAAAAGTTCCTGTGCACTCTTCCAAATGTATCCGATAGAAAACCGACAAGCTGGCCATTTTTCGGTGATCTTTGAGATTTTGTAGCTTCAACTCCACAAAAACGTGTACTGTTATAAATAAATAGTAGCAGTAGAGCTCCTTGTGAAAGAGTTCGTCCAGGGAAGTACTGCCACCTTACCTATTTCTGCCGCCAACATGTAATGCCAGCATTACTGTGTTCCGCTTTCGAAGGGTAAGGTAAGGGTGCTTGTGAAATTACAGGCACGTGCGGCTTGTCAACTTATGAGGGTGACGGGCGCAGTGGCACTGCCTATCAGATCTTTTGCAATTTAAAGCTCTGAGTGGCACTGTAACCGTTATGGACAAGCGTGTAGCTTACCATCAGGCGCAAGACTTGTTCGTCCCGTCACTTGATGTTATAAAAAAATATATAAATATTAGACAACACCACATACGTTGCTCCGATCCGAAAAGTAAGTAACAAATGCACTTTTGTTACAGAAATCGGAAACAACGACGGTACCACATACACCCACACTCGACACAATATAGAAAAGTACATTGACCCGGCCGGGGTTCGAACCCGGGACCTCAAGAGGTGACAACACTACGAAAGACGGTTAGGTAATACGTATTAGATTTTCGTTCCACCGGGTCCAAAGGGTAGAACTTGTGCTTTATAGAAATTTACAACCTGTTCAGATGTAAAATCCTGCCCAGTTTTTTGGCGGTTGTTTTTGCCAAGCACTTGATGTAGCGATCAAAGTTAATAAAAATTTATTGATGGTAATAATTTAATTATTAAACTTTTTTATTTGACTAAAGATAATTATTATCTTGCTAATTATTTTAGGCGGCAGATAGCGGCGTTGTTATCATATTGTATGGTGAATTCAGCCATTTCATTATCAGACCTCATCTATTGAGTGGTCTATTAGACATTGTTCAGTCTACTTAAACTGATATTTTGTACTCAATTACCAGTAATATGTATAAAAAGACAAGAGGGGAGCCCTGACAACACTACTGTCAGAGGATAACATAATAATACGTTATGTTACTAACAATGGCCCGCTATTTCAATACTAACTCTGAATTAAATATTTGAAATATATATTCATAATCAGCTGTATGCACACTTTACACCATAAAATATTGTTGTCTTCTTAATAATTTTATTTCACTCAGGTTCATACAAACAATTGAGACTGGTATTGAGTTGATAAAACATAAATTTGATATATGTATATGAAGACTCGTATGATGTCAATAGTGGGTTCTTGAACTTTCCAAAACATTTGAATATAATTATGAACCACAATGCTCACGACCCGGATTTAGAACTCGATATTTTAACCGAATCGTACGATTGGATATGGTAAAATACGTTATAAGAAAAATGAAAATCCTTTTATATACATTTTTAAGACTAGGGGCCTAAAATATAGGAATGCATTAGTCCTTCATTAAAATAAATTAATAAAATTGAACAAATCCAAACTTTAATTAAAATAATAAGAGATTTCCATTTTACATGCTTGCTTTGTAAACAATAGGACGTTCGGTAACTTTCATTCGATAACTGTGTTCTAAATAACGTTTGTAGGCTTTGCCGGTCGAGAAGTTCGAGTAATCGTACGGTTGTGAGATTGTATGGGCTTTGACATCTTGAATGTAGGTAGTTAAGTTAGTTGTAGTTTGTAGTTAGTTAAGTCAGTTGTAGTTTGTAGTTAGTTAAGTTAGAGTTGACGTACAATCGTAAAGTTTATTTTTGTTTAAAATACAAGTTATTCTATGGATGCTTATGTGACCGATTGCGACAGAGTTATTGAATCAACTAAATTATAATAAAAAGTGAATCAGTCGATTTACGTAAAGTAGGGCGCTCAGCGTCTAATCTTGTACGTGACCCGTACAGAGGTCATTTCGATTGGGTTTCGAATACGACAGTTTGACGTTCGATTCGGGTGATGTGAAAATGAAAAAATCGTACAGTTAAGAGCACATCAAGTTTGACATTTTGTACTTTGGACCGTTCTTATCGTAATCGACATAAAGTTGGATTTAAGTCTTAAGTGTAAAGCTTGACGTGCTCTTGACCCTGTACGATATAAATCGAATCGGTCGACTGCTAAGTTATCGTAAGGTTCTTAATCGACGTCCTGGTTAGAAAACTTCGCCATTATGATGTGGAAGATCTTAAAACAAAAATGTACCTAGATTCTATCCAAAGTACATTTTGGTTTTAAGTTCATAT